GGATGGTGGTGTCCCCTTCTGCGTTGAGTCCATACCTGGACAGCCTTGAAGGCCCTTCCACATGTAGCCCTTGCATCCCACACCTCTGTGGCCACCCCCTGGAAAGCCCCCGCCTGAGAGAACTGAGTTTGGTTCCTGGAGACTGCAGGCAGCACATTCCTCTGTTCTTTGCTCTGTTTCCCTCCCTATGGAATTCCATTCTTCCCAGTGCTTAGACTCAAGTTATCTCTCCTGCAAAGCCATTTATGACTTTCTCCTATTCTCGCATCCCTTACACAAGTCCCCCTTGTTGGGGGCATTTTTAGCAAAGCTGTTTGTTTGTCTGCCTCACTTTCAGCTCTCAATTGACAGCAAACTTGGTAAAGGAGAGATTTTTTTCTTCTTCCTCCTATCGGTGCCTGGGGCTCAGGAGGCATTTGATGAATGATTGTGAGGTGGGGGGTGGTACTGCAGGGTAGGCTAGTGGGCCAGGGATGAATAAATACGTTCTGACCTAGCTAGAGGACTCCCTGCCTGCCCCTCCCTTGGGGCAGGCTGCTTCCTTGCTCTGTTGTTGTGTAGGTGATGTGGATTGTGTCTTATTTGTTTTGGTTTTCAAGGAAGGGGAGAAAATTAAATATTGGAAACCAGGTGTTTTGCACACATTCCTACCAGGAAAGAAAGAACTCTCGTGCTCTTTCCCTGACATTGGAGCCACTCCTCTGATCCTCCATACGTGCTTGGCAGGCTCCCTCCATTTTGTTGGAATGTGAGCTTATGGTTTTAGAAAGTTAGGTCTTTCAAAACAGATGGTCAGACCGCAGAGTCATTGGAAATGAGCATGTTTGCAATATGTCCCGTTCTACTCCATCTGAGCAGAGCTCGGGGCTCTGCACCCTGGCCACCGTGTCCCAGGTGTCAGCCCATCCGCTCTGCAGCCTTACACAGTCATCCCAGTGACTGAATATTAGAAATCATGTGTTAAACTAGAGATGTCGTGTTGAATAAGTCAGGTTGAGTAAGTCAGGTTATTACCTTCTGAATGAAATCTTCTCACAGTTACACTGAGAAAGCATATAGTTAAAACCTCGAAGACCACGGTCCCCATCTAAGAAAGGAGTAGTGATTGTTAGGTCATTTCTGAGTGTTACCTTTTGTTTAGGGTTGTGTAATAGATTCAGATACGTTAATTCATATAATATTCAGGACAGTGCCTGGCAAATGGCAAGTGCTGGATAACCCTTAGCTACCCCCTTGCAGGGCCTCACCTTAGTTACAAAGGGCCTTACTGACACTCAAGCTCCAGGTCTCTCTGCCTCTCCCTTCTGAAAAGATGCTGTTTTTTCAAAAAATTAGTTTTATCTATACAATTCAAATACACGTACTGGTCACAGTCATCAAAGACTCTGCACCTGTGCATGCTACATCTAGGTTCTGCTTTTCTCCCAGTCCTCTACTCCCTTCAGCCCCGCCCCCTTATTTACAAAAGCTTTGCTTCCGTTTTTTCCCCTTCTTCATTTTTTGCCCTTTTCCCTTCCCCCTTCACAGTTTCCTTTAACTTTTGAACAGTTTCTTTCTATTTCACGTTATCTCTTACACATTTTTTTTTTAGTTCTTTTATTGGTACATTGTAGGTATGCAATTCGTTTACATTTATCATTGGGTGTTTGTACCTGTGCATGATATATCTTGGTTCTTCTCTTATACATTTTTGTTCTTATTTACCCTTTCAGTTTGTCACACCAGAGAAACAATGCAATGTTTGCACATATGTCTGATTTATTTCACTTAAGATTATATCTCAGGTTGCAGCCATTTAGCTATAAATGTCTCAAATTTATCTTTCTTTATGGCTGAGTAGTACTCCATTGTATAAAAATAACGACATCTTTATCCATTCTTCAGTTGATGGGCATTTGGGCTGTTTCCACGATTTAGCTATTACAAACTGCTGCTGTAAGCACATATATCACTGTGCTATGATGCTTCTAATTCTTTTGGGTAGATACCGAGCAGGGGAATAGCTGGGTCAAATGGGACCTCTAATCCTAATTTTTTGAGGTATCTCCACACTAATTTCCACAGTGGTTGCACCAGTCTATACTCCCACCAACAGTGGAGCAGGGTTCCTTTTTCCCTACATCTCCGCCAGCGTTTGTTGTTGGTTGATTTCTTGATATCAGCCATTCTTTCAAATGCTGTTTTTAAAAAACAAATTTTCTTTGTGCATTAAAACTCAAAGTAAATGAGGTGTGGTAGTGCACCTGTCATCACAGTACTCTGGGAGGCTGAGGAAGGAGTATTTCAAGTTCAAGCCCAGCCTGAGAAAGTTAGAGACCTAGTGAGATTCCATCCCAAAATAAAGAATAACTAAAAGAGGGCTAGGGATATGGCTCATTTTGAAGGACCTAGGTTTAGTCCTCAGTTTAAAAAAAGAGAGGGTGGGGAGAGGAGACAGACAGGTCGACAGAAAATCAGAGTGATTATCCCGCAGGCCTGCTTATTGGGTTCTGTGGAATGAGAGGCAGTGGTGGATGAGGGCAAACGAAAGGAAGGAGAAGGTGATGCCCATGAGACCTTGTTATGTTCTGGGGCATTTTGGCCACTTGTGGGCATCCCTATAGGTTGGCACAACTAGTTAAGTGAGAAACCACACAGTGATGGGTATGAGGGTTTCATTGTTTCAAGATACTTCTCAGCTCGCATTGGGGGTTAGCTGGTAAACCCGTCATAGATTGGAAGAAGTTGTAGTGGAAGATGCAGTTGCTTCCCCAGCCAGCCACAGCTTCTAGCTCAGCAGCCTGCTTTCCCCTCGTGATTTTGGGGCGGACAGGGAGCTCTATCACTACTGCTACTCCTGTCAAAAGACCTCTGACTCTAGGCTGGCATATAGCTCCCCTGGGGAAAGAGTCCAATGCGAAGCATGGTTTCGATTGAATGCCTGTTACTTTTTTGTGTCCTAACATTGCAGAGTTACAAGTCAGACCCTCCTAAACTGAGGCCATGGGTGCTGCGGGTGAGGCTGCTCACATCTCAGTGCTCAGCAGCACTGCCTCAGTGTGGTGTCTGTTGTGTACGCAGCTCAGACACCTGGCCAGCAGCTGGCTGCTCAGGGCAGTGTCAGGTTGGGCTGGATTTTGCCTTGTGAATGACATAACAGAATACTGTGGAAAAGTGCTTCTGACTTCTCTCTCTACAAGGAGCTCATTTCCGTGCTAGTCAGAGGTGGTCTACACTAATCACTTGTACGAGACAGCCACTTGCTGTCCACGTGGCCACAGTGCACTCTTGAGAAAGAAATTGCCCGTGCGCTTTTACCAGTTCCCTTCCATGTAGTTATCAATTTCTTTTCATTTATTTATTTGGAATCAATTTCTATTTAAAAAGATGCAGTGTTTTTATTTAGCGACTCAGGTCAAAATGCTAAGTGGCCACCTTGTAAAGAATGTAGGAAAAATTTACCTTCAGTCTCATCACATATTGTGTGGAAAGTGCTTTGATACAGAACACCCTTAATGCAAGACAAGTTCTGTCATGTCTTTCAGGAAAATTGGAAGAGCTGTTTGAGGAAAGTTTCTAAAGATAAGAAGGGATCACAGCCAGCAGGTGGGTGGGGAGATTGGTGGAACTGTGAGGGGAGGGACAACAGTATGGACTGCGAGTTGATTAGCTTTAGGGACAAGCCAGAAATCTATGTAGAAAATGTGACCCTCAATACTAAAGTCGTGGATTTCGCAGTAAATATGTATGTATGGTATGTATGTATGTATTGGTAGGACAAAATGATCCATTTAATTCAAAAACCTGGGGGGTCTTATTCCACTCCCCTCTATGAGGCAGATAAAGAGACCAGACCCCTGTATCACTTGGTAGCCACTTGGGGTGCTCTTCACAGGCAGCAGGCAAAGACAGTTACTAGTACCTCAACAAAAGCAATGCCCAGGGCTACTGTAGCCACCAGCAGCACATTTTTTCTCAGCCTGGTCCTGATCCTCTCCACACAGCCCCTGGTGTGGATAGTGTGCACATTGAAGCCAGTTCCACAGCCCGCAGTGACACAGACCCAGCAGGAGCCAGGATAGAACTTGGCCCTCTACCAAGCTAGGGATGTTCTCCCAAATCTGTGCAGTTAGCAGGCCACAGCACCCAAATTTTATCTTCAAGTTGTCCAGGAATGCAGCTGTGTCATGGCTTTTTTTTGGTAATCATGCACCTGCTGCTGCAAGTCCTTATTAAACTCTGCTGTCACCTTGTCTCTAAAAAACATAGCCAGCATTGGCTCCAGCCACCTCCACTAGCATGACAAGAGACAGGAAGATGGCAGAGGTGATCGCATGAAGTAGTTCTCCTTGCAGTCCCCACACCAGCCCAAGAGGCCACCAGGAAGAGGAAGGTGCCCACAGCGATGGTGATCACAGGCAGCAGAGTTCTGGGAGCAGCCCTGAGGGTCCTGGTCCCACTGAGGATAGGCTTGACCACCACACTCACCTTGAACAGTCCCCCTGCATAGCTGCCACGTGCCAGCAGAACAGACAGCAACTTGACACATCTCATTCCTCCCTCTCCCCCACGGCTGCTGGGCCCTACCCACAGAATAAGTTTGCTGACTCCTGTAGCAGAAAAATAATTTTCAGGTCTTGACAGTCAAGAGGGATGGAAAACATTTGTTTTAAAAGAAGAAAGTGTACAGAAAGGGTGTGGGCTTTCAGAGAATGAGACACCATAATGAAATACTTTAAATAAGCTATCAGTTGTTCAAACTTATTCTTGCCCTGACTTTCTATATATATTTATGGAGATTTACTTGATTGTAGACTACATGTCATAGGAAACATCTTGGGACAGATGTCATGTGCTCTGACCAGAGCTGAACAGTGTATTTTTCACTTCTAGGAGGTTATATGTGTTTTTTCTTTCCAGGTGGAGTATTTCTAAGATCACTGTTCATTTCTGAAAAGTAGCATTAACATTGTGTGAAAACCACAAATGAACATTTTTCTCCCATTTATTTTCTTTTTCAGAGAGTGATGGTATTCAAAATGAAGATGCTGGAAAATTTCAGTTCTTCATAGGAACTACAAAAATGGAAGGAAAAAACATTTTCAAAAGGAGACTATTTTGAAAATATGCTTACAACTAACTGATAATGTACAGCTTTTAAAAAAATAATAAAACACTTGGAGAAGATTATATTTATGGTAAAAGGAAACTGGACTAACAATGAGGCCAAAGACTTTTCCTGCCACAACTTACTCTGGAAATAGCCGGCAGCGACTGCAGGAGATCCGAGAGGGGCTAAAGCAGCCTTCCAAACCTTCAGCTCAGGGGCTGCCTGTGGGACCAAACAGTGAGGGTTCCCTGGATGCCAAAGTCCTGGGAAGCAAGGATGCCACCAGGCAGCAGCAGATGAGAGCCACCCCAAAGTTTGGACCTTATCAGAAAGCACTCAGGGAAATCAGATATTCCCTGTTGCCATTTGCCAATGAATCCGGCACTTCGGCAGTTGCTGAAGTAAACCGACAAATGCTGCAGGAGTTGGTGAATGCAGGATGTGACCAGGTGGGTACAGACTTCCTCTGGCTTCTCCAGGGACAATTATAGTGGGTGGCCTGTGGGGAGTGCAGCTGGACAGCCAGAACCCTTTGGCAGTGTTCAGATGCTTTGGCTTTGAATAGCTTGCTACTTACAGAAGTGTTTGTAGGTTAACCTAGGGGCTTTTTAATGCTTCACTGAACTCCCAGGAGTTTTGGGCTGCTTTTCCTTTTCAGGCAGGATCCAGAAGTGTCTGAAGTCTCCTGAAATTGTGCCATGTGCACTTTCTGTCCTCTCACTGTCTCTCTTTGTCCCTCTGCTGGGGATGGAATCCAAGACCTTGTGCATATTAAGAATGTGCTCTGCCACCGAGCTGTGCTCCGAGCCCAGTTCTGAGAAAGCTGAGTGTGATGGCACATGCCTGTAATTCCAGCACTCTGGGAGGCTGAGGCAGGACGATTACAAGTTCCAGGCCACTCCGGGCAACTTTGTGAGAGACCCTATCTCAAAATAAAAGAATAAAAATAAAAGGGCTGGGGTGTAGCTCAGTGCAAAGACCCTGGGTTCAATTCCTAGTATAGCACCACCAAAAAAAAAAAAAAAGAAAAGAAAAGAAAAGAAAAACTAGAAAAGACAGAAATCATCAAAATGTAATGGGGCACTCTACCTTCTCAGTTGCTTAGGAAAGAAGAATATGTTCAGACAGCTAATACCCATCATACATAAATATGTAACTCCATGCTATACTTTGTGATCGCTTAGTGTCTCCACCTGAATAAAACCCACGTTGAAGGGTGGAGCTGGTGTCCAAAAGGTGTGAAAGTAGTTGGTAAGCTAGAACTAGCGAAATTGTCATTATGCCGTGAAAGGGATTGTGAAAGCCAGTGCTTTATTTCTATCTGTCATCTTAAAAACCATAGTTGCATGAAATGGAAATAAGCAAAGTATTTTTGCTGCCTTGGAAAAGGAGATTTCATCATCACATCACACCAAGATGACTTGAGCACTTTTGGTAGAAATACCCTGATTACCTGCCCCTGGCATTACAGTCATAGAGGATAACAGTGTCATCTCACCATCTGGTGTTTCCAAAGGCAATTTCATTTCTCTAGTAGTTTATTACCATAGAACTGAACAAGAGAATTAGCTGGGCATGGTGGTGCACATCTGTGATCCTATCACTTGGGTGGCTGAGGCAGGAGGATCGATGGGGAGTTCAAAACTAGCCTGGGCTACGTGGTTCAAGGCCAGCCTGAATTACTATCGAGACCTTGTCTTAAAAAGAGAGAGAGGGAAATGATGCTTCTCAGATGATCTGTCTGTGAAGCAGATCCTGGGGTTTTTTTTGGTTTTTTTTTTTGTAGCTATGGACAGGGCAGTTATATTTATTTCAAAACAAAAGCTTTGTTGGGCTGCATCAAATGCAGAAGAAAAGGAGTATTGAGGGGCATGGTTAAATTACCAGTGTGCATAACAGTGAGGTATGCCTCAAATAAGCCTTTAAAACTCTTAAGATCCTGGGGTTTTTTAAGGGACTTCCTGACACTTGGGGAAATGCTGGGATTAACTTGTGTCTAGCAAGCTTTGTTCTGTAGAGCCTCCTTTGTAAAGCACAGGATCATGAACAATGTCGTGTGGAGGGTTTCAGAGTGGAAACTGACAAGAAAGATAGGGCCTTGCTCACTGTGGGAGTACGAAGTTACATAGGGTGCCAAGTGCTGTCTGTCCCCAGACAGAGTGGAATGCTTTCGAAAGTAGACAGGGAGTAATTCTGAGGGAACCCCAGAGGAAGATTATAGAGGGGATTTTAGGCCCACTGCAAAGCTTAAAATCTGTAAATCAGTTGCAAACAAAAGAAGCAATCAGGCCTGGTGTTCTTTGCAATTGTCTTTCAGCTGTGAGAAAAAGAAACAAGTCAAGCAAATAATCCACAGTACAGGTGGGATCTTATTAGGGTGAAATCCATTAGTGGTAATTACAGTGCAAGAAAAATGAAGCTGGTGTTGTTTCTAGTACCCTAAATACAAGCACAGTACAGGAACATTAAGGATCATGATGCCAGTGAAGTTCCATCAACATGTAGTTTATGTTATCAGAAGGAGCTCCGTCTACCATATTTAATGCTCCCCACATAATTCAGTTTGTTATTTAGGGTTACTTTAGAATTTAAAGCAGCCGTGCCCTCCTCCTACTCAGGCTGCTCCTGCTTTCAGATACTTCAGGTGGGAAAGTCATTCTGTAAACCTGCCTGATATGAGGAAAAGACAAGCGTTGCTTTGGGACCTGTGCGTGTCTGTTGGATAAAGCAGATCATTAGGATTCCAGTCTAATAGGTAAAGAGGATCCCTACTGTTGCAGCTTCCCCCCTTTGTCTCCTGTTATTTCAGATGCATTTTTGTTCTGTCTTTTGAGTTTAAGTGCTGTCTTTAAACCCCAGTATTCATCAGAGCGGCCGTGAATGCGCTGCTCTCCCGAGTCTTGTGGGCACCAAGTCGAGGCACGAGCTTTCATGAGCAATCTCTTATTGCATGTGCATCCACACATACATTTTGTCATTTTATTTGGACTAAAAATTATTGATAATATTTACCTGTTTGTAAATGACCGGTACTAGGGATTGACAATGGCCTTCATCCTCAGTTGTTGCATCGCAGCTTTTTTTTTAAAGACAGGGTCTTACCACATTGTTTAGGCTAGGCTTGAATTTGTAGTCTCCTGCCTCAGCTTGTCAGAGTGCTGGAATTACAGGCATATGCCTCCATGTCCAACTTTAACTTTTTATTAAAGTAACATTTACATTTAAAAAGTGCACAATTCATAAACTTTATAAAGCTTGGTGAATTTTTACATATTAAGCATACCCATGTAACTGACATGGATGGGCATATTTCTCATTAAAACTTTACCTCATGCTGACAGTTGCTAGAAAAAAGTAAAAGACTTAAGGTTCAATGATTTCTGGTAATGATATAATGTACATGTCAAATGATATATAGTGTTCATAAATCTTTTGAACATAAATTAGTGAAGATTTAAGAAAATTCTATAGGTAAAAAGAAACTAAGTCAATAGGTTTGTGTTCCTTAAGCAAGGAGCTATTCTTTAGATTTACAGATTCAAGGAATCGGAAAGACAAGATGTTTCTGATATGAGTGTCATGTTTTGTAGCCTTGGGCACATTGGTATAAATAATAATTTAACTTTTACTTTATTCCCTTATAATATTTAATTTTTTTTCTTTAAATCTTTATGGTTTCAAACGACCATATTTCTAAATTTTCCCCTTCAAAGTTTTAAAAAACATTAATTGGATTTGCAGTGATGTTCACATGCATACTATTTCTCTGTTCCGAAGTGTGTGAATTGTGTTCTCCTTCTGAGTTGAAGGGTGAACCACAGCACATCTCCAAGCCTCGGGTGGAGGGTATAACAGTGCCTAGGATCCCGGGAGAGTGAAGCTCCAGTTCAGCCCTGCCTGGCACAGTGCAGGGACACAGGACCCCTTAGGATAAAAGCATTTTATCTCGTTATCTCCTCAGGGAACACCTGGATGAAAAATCTTTTCAAGTGTCCCAGGAAATGCTTCTGCCTCCCCAAGGATCGCTGTGTGTTCTCCCTGGGGTCCTTTATCCTGGCCATTGGCTCAGTGTCCATGCCTTCCCTGCAGGATTTTTCTCTCTGCTGTGATGTTCCTAATTCTACCCAAATCCAGTTCTTCCCCACTTTATTATGTGTGTTTAAGTGACTTAAATTTTTAATGGAATGAGGGCTACAAGAATGTTTGGGGCCAGGGATTTAGCTCCGTGCCACCACGCCTGCCTTGTAAGCGCAAAGTTCCGAGTTCAATCCCAGGTACCCCCCCCCCAAAAGAATGTAAACAAACTGATTTTAGTGCATCAGGTTCTGTAGAAGGAAAACAGCAGTGGCCAGGATGTGTGTTCAGGGGCAGGTTCTTGAGAACAATGGTCACAACACCAAGGGAATTGTGATGAACTGGTTAATGAGCAAAGGAGGGCAGTTCTTGGTATTTTTCAGCTAAAAAGGGCAGCAAAATTAAATTTGTCCATAGCACTGGCTGGGGTGAGGCCTGGAGCACATGGGCCTCCAGTTGGAAAAGCACTGGGGTTTGGAGATGCCTGTGTGCCTGGCACTGACCTCAGTGCCTGCCGTGCGTAATCTTACCGAAACGGCACAGCAGTCACTTGAGAGGGATTCTAGTTACTGTCCCCTTGGTTAGGGGACACTACAGCTGGGGTTGGGGGAGGTGTGCTGAGCAGGTGACCGGAGTGCTGTCCTGTCCTTGACCCCCAAGCTGACCTGTATGCAGAGTGCTTGTGAGACAGCCCGAGGACCAGGACTGGGGCCGGGCTTGGAACAGTGCTCCCTCCCTGAGGGCCCTCAGAGTTCTGGCTTTGAGTTCCCTTGTTTGTCGCTGGTCTTTGCTGGACAGCTGCTGCCTTTTTAAAATTCTGTTTCGTGCCCAGGACTCAGGATTATCACCTGTCTCCTCCCATTTTGAGGGCACAGGCACAGCCCTCCCCAGCCCCTGATGCCTCCTCTGCTCCAGCTGCAGCTTCTAGTGCTCTGCCCAACTCATAATATCAGTGAGCTCCCTCTGCCAAGGAGGAGTGACATGGGCTCCTCCCAGATACGTCCTCATGCTTGCTCATTCAGGGCTCTTTGACATACTGTTTTGTTGGCTGGTCATATTCTTCCCATCTTCTTCTGATCTGATTCTAGGCTCAGGCCAGATTTCAAGCCCAGCATCTTCCTGACTTCTTTTTGGATGAGAGCAGTTCCTAGTCAGACTTTTTAGTGTGTGTGTGGTAGTGGGGATGTAACCTAAGGGCTTCACATTGAGCTATATTCCCAGCCCTTTAAAAACAAAGAAATTTTTTAATTTTAACTTTGAGACAAGGTTTCACTAAGTCGCTAAATTGCCCTGGCTCGGCTTGATCTTTCAATCCTCCTGACTCAGCCTTCTAAAGTGCTGGAATTATAGACATGTGCCCCACATCTGGGTCCTA